AGTGAGACAAAATATAAACACAAAAAAACAGGTACACACACACACACACACACACGAGACAAAACACACACACACACACACACACACACACACACACACACACACACACACACACGGCTGTTAAAATGTTTGAGCTGTGAAGAGATGTGGTTTTCTGAGCAGCCAGTAATTGAAAGTTTCCACTTTAAAGTTTAGCAATGCATCATGTTTTTCTTTTCCTGTCCAGAAACAAGGGGAGGAAATATAAAATCTAAATTTGGTTAAACAGCACTGGAGAGTAAATAAATAAAAAATAAAAAAACCACATCTATGATGTCTTAAGAGCACAAGCTTCAAGGTGCATGCCCATATATAATCAATATTCTTAGAATAAATTTATGGCTTGAGATTAATGATGCAGCATTTAGGGGTTTTTTTAGCTCATGCATTAAGATATGTTTAGCTTCGATCAGCTTCAGATAGTGGTTTTGTAAAAAAATGAATGCATGTTTTTCTGTGGGCTGTTTGCACCTTCATGGATATTCAATAAACCGTGTTCTTTAACAAAAAGGCCACGGTTAATGTAGCTACTGTAACTCCAGCTAATGTCCTAATTAATCTACATGAATATAAGGACTGACTCAGATTCCACTCAGGCTATTCAGGGAGAACTTCAGTAAAGAGCTGTGCATATGTTTAATGTACAATGCAAGTGCACCTAAACCCTGACTTTTAAATTCACCATTAAGTGACTTTAGAGTAAAAAACAAAAAACTAATGTTATTTCACACCATGTGGGTTTGAGTATTCCTGAATCCTCTCCCACATTTTTACTGAAGCTACATGATGCTCACACCGAGTGACATTTCAACTCAAGATGCCTTTTGCACATCGTCATATACCCATTTCCCTGTAATGCAGCCTGACATATTTGGTGTCTTTGGAAATGTTTGTGTCGTGGCTAGAATTTAAAGTACACTTCTGTGGGTTTGAACAGTGCCTGTCATCGCAACATGCATTTTAATGATAACCAGACCCCCACTCTCCCCGGTGGGTCTGACAGGGTTTAAGAGGTTAAACCCAAGGAAAGCGAAAGTCCACCGGCGACAAAATTCACATGCAAACTTAGAACTCCAATTCATTTGGACAAGGACATGTAGACTTAGGTTTTCAAAGGCTTGTGGGAAGGTGAGCGTGAACATTTGCAAGCAGAGCGGCGAGGGGGGCGCGTTGAAAGGAGAGCTCTCAAGTTGTTGATGCAAATTTAGGCAGAACTGAAAGAGCCGTTGACTAATGAACTGCCAGGTGTCTTGTTGATTGACGTCCGCTCATAAAAGATCCCCCTCCAACTTCCACCTGCTACAACCCAAAGTCTACGATTTAACCTTGGAAGAAGAAAAAACATCACAAAAGGCTAAATAATCCATGCTGCCTTCAGTTTTATAAACAAATACAATTACAGAGACAAATTAAGGCAATACCAAGTGAAGGATGGAGAGGATGTTGAATTCAATTCAAATCTAGTTTACAGAAAATGTATTTGTCCTCTTACTCTTGCCTCTGGGACATCTTATATTTAGAGTGAGGCAAGTCAAGTGTTGTGGGGCGTCATAAGTTAGCATATGGACCAAGACTTGGCTCACACTCACCAAGTGGTCCTGGTAGCAGAGTTGTGTACTTTGGTATTCATGCACCTCTCAGTACATACAGTGTTCGTGCCTGAAATCCCCAAATAGTGGTGCTGTCTGCTTTTGGCACCTCTTCAACAAGACAAAAATAAAAATCCATTTGGAACCAGTTTGTCTGTGTTTGGCCCATCGTGGACATTTTGGCACCGTCTACATTGTTTCAAAATATCAGGTGGCACTCATCCTCATGTTCTAGTCGTCATTGTGGGAGTCAGGCAAAAGGGAAGTTTGCAGTGAAATACTAAAGAGCTTTCACATCTACCTTGTTTGGTCTAGAAGTTTAGACTTTTCTGTTCAGTCCTAACCAAAATAACAAGGTGTGACAGGTGCCTCAGAGCGCGAGATAATGCTTGAACAACGAGGACGTTCATTTTGCTGGCAGTAAAACCATAAAGATGTTTCAGCAAACTGATTCTTTCATTTTCTCAATTCAAACTGACAGTTAGCGAATAACATAAACTGACAACACCAGACACACGCCCCTCTACAAGCCAATCAATGTCAAGTACAGGTAGACACAGCCCACGTAGGTGATTCCAATTCCAATTTGAGACCAAAACCCATCAGATCACATTTATACAATGTGATAAAGACATGCAAATTTGGTTTGGACCATGGTCCAGATTTCCAGGTGTCAAAATACCCTAAAAGACTTTAAAGAATGCTCTAAATGCAAAAGAAGATTTATATCAGTGTACAGAGACACGTCTCCTGGTGTCTCTAGTCACTCCTCCAACGTATTATCTGTTCCCGCAGTAAATACAAAGAATAAAGGTGAGATAATGCTGAGACTATAAAGCTAGAGTGAGGTGAGGTGAAGGCAGCAGCTGCAAGTACCATACGTACTGAAACTCAGATTTACACATAAATAAATATAGTAATAATAATATTATTTTTACAAATTCACATCCAAAGTCTAACAATATTTTATTTCCTCAGCAATAATTCACATTACCTATAAAATGTATTTTGTTTGACACACTTAAATCCTTCATAAAACAATGTAACATACAGTGAGTCTAATAACACGATTTGCAGTTTACAGCCCCACAGGCAACAGAGGGTTCACAAATAATGGCCCAGTCCACAGCCAATACAAAACAAACACATACTGCATATTAGGAGCATAATGCAAACAAGGGCTGCAGCAGAATACAAAATATGTTACACATGGCTGGGCATCAACCGAGATCAACAACAACCATCCACCGAGACAAATTCAAAAGCATTTAAAATGGCAGCAACACAACGTATGCAAAAGAAAAACATGAATTTAGTCCGAGCTCTTCCTGTAAAGACGCAGAAGCCCGGACAATCTCATTCATCCAACCATGCAATAAACACACAATGCAACATTGTGAGAGTGACCCACTGAGTAGTGGGTCTAATAAAAGGCTTTGCAGGTTTCAGCTCATCAGCCACAAGCGAGGTCAATGTGACGGCCGGGTCAACAAAACATGTGCAACGTAACAATGACCTGAAATAGATGCTACACAATGACCTGCACTTACTATTTGAAGGTTTGATGAGAGAGATCATGCAAAAACAAATTCAGTGTGTTACACAGGTGATGCATGTAGATGTTTTCATCTATTTAGAATAGGGCTGGTCAATAATAGAACAATAAATATCATAAATATCAATATCTATCCATATAAGGCATTGTGTAAACACAGTGAGGAGGTGTAACATTGATGTGAGACAAAAACCACAACTCTCATTCCTAAGCAAAAAACAGTCTCTGAATTTAAAAAGGAAATAATAATATGACATTTATCGTGATATAATTTTTCAGCCATATTGCCCAGCCTTAATTAAAAAGCTAAAAGCAGCCTCTCCTGTCAGAACTGTTGACTCTACTGTACTTTGACAAAGCGTTATTGCTTTACTGCCCTCATCGTGGTCAAACTATCCTTGTTCCTTTCTTCAATACAGAATCCTCGACCTCCCGGGTGCCTCAGAGAATCTATATTTTTTCATTCTGCACTGATAAAGTCGCTCTGCCACCAGCGGATATTGAAAATAACAAAGAGGTGGACAAGTGAACTCCTTCAACCTCCACACTGATGTCACATCCCAGGTGACTCCACCAAAGCCCGGTGTCAACCGTGTCACATCCAAGACGGACCTGAAGTTAAACTACAATCGAAGAAAAATAATAAAGCACATCTGGCTTTTTCCGCTGCAATGACCTAAAACCACTACTCAAACCCAACAGGTGAGGCAGGGGGTTGATCCTGAAGAAACAAAGACTCGCTGATCACAATGCAAACATCCATCTGGAGACTTTACACGGTGTCATTCATCCAACACCTCCACGGGAACAGGGGAGGTCACAGATGGCTCAGGCTCCAGACAGCACAATTTCACATTATCTAATATATGCAACAGGGCAAATAGGCTGCAGCTCCATTCAACCATCCGTGTTTATTACGCAGCGCGTCCCCAAACACAACACACAGCTTCGGCAAACAGTGACTTCCACTTACTGTTGTCCATGGTGGCGCTGCAGACTCCAGTGAAACAGCTCCAGGTTCCTCTCGTGTCAGTTTCCTTCTTGAAACGTGCAGGTTCATTTTTGCCGCTCAGGATCCATTAAACGAGCTGCAGCCACTTCCTGTCGGGAGAATTGTTTGGAGTCCATAACATGAGCACGTGACAGGTGCGCGTTCACCTGGACGCAGTTCTTCCTCGCTTGTTGCAGAGCTGCGTCATTGTGCGGCATACTGCCCCCTGCTGACGGAGATTTGAATGAACGCTCCATGTTTCTTCATCGGCAGCTGCGTCTGTTTGTTTATTTGTTGGTTTGTTTACTTCGCTGAGAAAATGATGGTTTCACCCCTGTGTGTTTGTTTGGTTGGTTTTTCAACAGGATTGCATCATAATTACTACTTTGTGTATTTGTCAGCAGGAGGGAGACACAAAAACCGCTGAGCGATTTCCTACCAAGCTTTAAATGTTGTTGCATGTACAGAATAAGTGGCAGATTCAAGTTTTGCTTTTTTCAAATTTTTCACCACACATGTCATAACCGGAGATCTAAATAAAATTCAGGTCATCACACTTTCTGTGGAGCAACTGCGGCTCAATAATCATTTTACCAAAACACTACTCCTTTTTTCCATTGTATTTTCCTGATATATAATACGCTGCTGCCTCACTCATCTAATTCATTATTTATAAGAGAAATGGTTAATAAGCACAAAGAGCGCCCCGCTGTCTATTTACAATACATTCCCACAGTTAAATAAACAGGTCAACATTGGAGGTGTGTATTCTGTCTGAATACATAAAGTATCCACTAGAAATAACACGCACTTATTTCAGCTGTCTGAAGCTGGAGGCTGTTATTCCCACAGTTGAACTGACATAAATCAAGTCTTTTGCAGCAGGCTATAAATCCATATGACGAAAACTCAGAACTAAGTAGGTAATTGGCAAAATTTTTGCTCCATCTCAGCTGCCACCAGTCGCCTGGCAGTGTCGAGCAGATGGCGCTTTATGTATTTATAATTGTCCAAATATTGTAAGAACCTCTCAGTATTTGGATCCTTTGCGTGCTAATTAGCTTGATTGATTTAAATTAGATAGCTTGGAATGTAGCACATCGCAAAAACCCTTGTGTCAGTATGTGCACGTGCATCTGTGTTGTCCAGACATAATGTATGGACTCTGTGGGTGACCAAGGTCCCCACTATCTATTCCTAAAGCCATGCAACCGGCGTCCATGGTGTCGTGGGCTGCTCTCGGCGACAGTGCCAGAAAGTCGCACACCTATTTACGATCTTTCCCAGCAGAGTTGTAAAACTCCGCAAAGCTAATACTCTTGATGAAATAAAACTGCTGAATGTATCGACACTATACATTTGTTACTCCGCTAAATGATTTGAGAGAGGCCGAGTGATACATGTGGAGAACTGGATTTGATTTACTTTGTTAAAACTGCGAAAACAGAACCTTTAGAGGAACCTCAGTAGCTGTCACATGCATTTTTCATGTACATGGTCTGACAGACAATGCTTTGTTTTACCTCCGACATTCAGTGATGTGCTGTGGCTGATTAGATTTTTGAAGAGGCATAAATTAGTAAAAATATTCTATATATCTGCAGCTAATGACGCATGCCAGCATTTTCCAGATTCCTCCTTGTGAACCAGTAATTATACAAAGATCTGTCACGTCCTTCCTTCAGTGCTTCCACACTTTTCATAATGCTAGAGAGATACAAAGAGAGAGAGAGACACCTATCAGGGCCTCTGGAAAGCCTGAGCATTGACATCACTGGGAAAGACGCATCGCTGAATAAATTAGAACTGTGTGAATGACAGAGACACATAATACCAGCTGCCGCGAGGTGAAACAAATTAAACAGTTCAATCCCTCCAGCCTGACGAGGTGTGGAACAATCAACAAAACACATAGCGCTCGTCGAGTGAAATATCTGCAGTGAACAAATTTTTGGAGACGTTTTCTAATCTGGAAATTATTTCACCTTGGCGAGAATTACTTTAATAGGACGTGCTAGACCATGACTGACTGCTGGTGTCACTGCACAAGATCTTAAAAAAACTAGCGCCTCTGAGGATGACTTAATCTCCAAAAAGCTGCAGCTGCACTCCGACGTTGACATTATGCTGCTGTAAACTCTTTACATTTGAATAAAAAGGCTCAGACACGTGTAAAGACGACAGAGGTGCAGAGTCTGCAGACGTGACTCGTGTAAATACAGCATGTTCCCCGTCACATGCCAGATGACATATTGTACGATGTGCAGCATGCATTTGTCTTGTGAGGAGATAATAATGTTTTTGAATCTTGGTTCAGTTGTTGCCTCGCGATGTGGAACTGTGCTGATTCGGGGTCAAGGAGAGCAGCGAATGGAGTCTGCTAGTTGCCAGGCGACCTTAGGCATGGATAAGGTCATTGCTCCCAGCCACTGTGTATAAGACATAGTTAAAGCACACAGATCCATGTAAAACCACCATGTGTTTCTATATTTCTCTTTGTGTGCAGATGTGTCACATGTTACTTAGCTGTCGTCTCCTCAGAAGCAGAGTTTCCAGTGTTTCTGAGCCAATCGAATGCTGGTTCTAGTTCAATACTCAACACGCTCACATCAGATTAGCATCATTTTACTCATCTAGCTCTCAGCAAGAAAGCGAACAAGCTTGTTTTCAAAAATGTCAAACTTCTCATTGAAGTTCAGAAGACGGTATTGTGGAAAACAGTTCTGAGTCAAGTCGGCACGTCAGGTGTGTTTTAACAGTCGCACAAATGTGCAAATAGAAAACTCAGAACATTTTGCATTGAACCCACCGGTCAGCAAATCACTTTCTGTCTGAAAAGGCCTCAAGGCACAGAACTTGAGTTTGGCTCATTATAGATAAAGAACAAGGGAAAAGACTTTGTCTCAGTTCAGGGTGAATATGAACACGATCTAATAATATTTAAGTCCGATTATTAGAGAACCACTTGTAGTCTATTTACATGATGACATGGCAACTTTTGACCACTTAGGGGCAGTGGACAGAGGTGGTCAAAACAAAGCTGAAGTATAAATATAAGATTTACGTTAATATGGTGAACTTTGTAAACAGTTGCCTGTTCATGCATCCATCAGATGTAGAGAAACCTAAGTATTAAATCGAGTTTGTGTTCAATATTCACTCTCCTCTAAAGCTCTGTTTTGGTCTCCACCACTTCCTGAGGGAAATAGTTAAATGGCACACAGTGTTCTCCAGTGACTTGCTGACATTGTCTGTGTTCTGGTGCTGGAATGGTGCCGGGTTTGTTCTGGTTTTAAACATATGTAAAACTGAAAACCCAAAGCAGTGAAAAGTGCTGCAGAGTTGAGTAAAATCTCTGCAGTGTAATCGTTGCAACACTTTCACATCCGAGTACTCGTGTGATCCATTGTTACTATAAAAAAGGATTAAAACCACTTTACTATCACACTTGAGTCTGAGGTGTGAATGTGGATGCAGGAGAAACTTATACAAAAAATCAAAATCCACTAAACTATCAAATGTTCTACATATTCCCTCAGATACCAGAGGATCCTAACTCATCAGCATCATCCTCTTGTTTATGTAACGTGGGGGCAACAGTAATTATGCGAATACACCATTGTAATTTCTGGGGAACGTGTCCTATTTTAATGTGGAAGGATTAAGAAGCCTCCGAGGCTTTTTGACACCAATTCACACGGGAGAACGAAAGCAAAACATTCTCCGCGTGTCAGTGACAGGCAGATCTGCATCAACAACATTGTGCTGGGGAAAAGATTACACTGATGATGTGTGCGTTCTGCGAGTGTAGTCATCCGAACAGTTTGTTACTGTTTTTTTTCTTGGTGTAAAGCAGCAAGTCGTCTGGCCTCATTTCTTTGAAACGGTTCCCTCTCCATCTGTCTGAAGAATGTGAAAGTAGAAATGAGAATTTTAAAAATGCATTTAACTTATTAAACTTTGGGTGAGACATTCATAGGCAGTCATTTTATATTATTACCTGTTGTTCAAGGTGAAAGTCCTTGAGGTCATGATTTGTAATCCTCAGAGTAAAATGATAAAGAATCCAAGACAAGAACTCGACAGCTACACACAATAAAGCAGATGATAAAGTCTTCATGTCGAGTAATTTGCACGATACATCGGCTTGTGAATGACATAAAATATTCAGCAATTTAATGTAAACATTCTCTCTCTTTTTTATAAAAAGCCTCCACTTCAAATTAAATAGAAAACGATGCTGCAGGGAGGCCAAGATTTATCTGAAACAAACACACACTGCTCTTTGGGCAATGAGACTCTACCGTCATCTTTACACAGAGACTGAAATTTCTCCTGTTCCTCCCTAAAACATCAGCAGCTCATTCAAACCATGAGGGCAGAATACATAGAAGGCTTTGACAGGACGATACTGTTTATCTAGCCTGACCTTCAGCCCCAATGTGCAGCACACGGATTTTCCTTCTCTGCAAAATCATGTCCACTACAATGGATTGTGTTCAGAGTTCACAGTGGGTTTTTAAAAAGTATCTTTTAAAAGTGATTAATAATGATGAATATCTATTGATCCGATTGGAGTGGGCAGGTAACATTAGACCCTGCATCCTGAAATAGATTTGGAAGAGGCTGAGACTGTTGCATTCATTAATATTAAATATATATATGTGTATGTTTACCTCTCTGGAAAATTAAAGAAGGTAAAAGAAGAGACACTGCAGTGTCCCTCCACGCAGCGACCTTTTTACCCTCCCTGCTGAATTTCCCTGTGGGTCAATAAATTATGGGACATCAGTGTTGTTTAAAAAGCAGAGGAGACGCGTCTGGAACTAACTCAGACCATGAAAAGATCCAAAGCCATTTCTTAATTTGTACGTGTATGTCTGTGCTTTCATTTTTATTGCGTTTTGTTATGCTTTATATGAATAAAAATGAATGACCCGAAGTTAAAGAAATAATAAACAAACACTGGAGATGATTTATCCTGGAAGCATAAAACCACTAAAGCGTGCTATTGAGAATTAGAGAAACATGAGACACGGGAAATATTCCAATTTTCCTTCTTGCCTGAGAGAAGATACAACTCTCATATCTTATGTTAGTATGAAGCTACATGTAAGCTAAGCTAGCTGTTGGCTGTTGGATTTAATACAGACACAAGAGTGGTATCAATCCTCTCATA